CTTGGAGCACTGGGTTGAAGTCTGGTTTTCTATTATTATTATTATTGCTGTTGCATGATCTTCTGTTTCCTAGAGACTTTAACAATCTGTGATGTTGTATATAGGTGTTATTGTAAGAAGCCCATATGTGCAGCCATCAATTCATGTTAGGTGTTTTACAAGGAGGAGAGGAGCCCTAGTGATGTAATGTGTAACTTGTTGGGCTGCGAACGTCGGGATCAGCAGTTTGAACTCATCGGTTGCTTTGTGGATGAAAGATTGGCACTCCCATAAGGATTTCAAGCCTCAGCACCCCAATATGGGGGCACTGAGCTTGAATAAGCCCAGTTGTAATTTAATTTTAGCTTTGGGTTTTGACGCTCCATGTGGGGTCGGGGTGGGGAGGTAGCATTTTCTTGGCATCTCACCTAAGGGTTCCTAGAGCCATGTAAACAAATAAAGTTATTGAAGTTCATTTTCCAAACCCATTACTGTAGTCATAGCAATCACTCCACTCTCTTTGTTTCTCTTCCTTTCCCTTTCTCTTATTTTAACAGACTGAAAGAAAATCATTGAAGTCTTTGAATGTCATTGTAGTTGCTAGAGCTACCAAGCCTGCAGTTAAAGATTTGACAGTTCAAAAATAATCTCACTCAGTCTCTTAATTGTACAAATTGATGCCCTTACCAGAAATTAGTAAGAGGAAGCGCCAGGATTACAAACTGGGACTCTTGCAGTAGTGCTCTAGGAGTTCCAGCGAGCTAAATAAGGCACATAGATTCTTCAATAGCACCATGGTTTGCCTTTCTGGACCTTTTTTTTTTTTTAAGTAGAAATTGCCTTAACCACTACTCGGTAAACATGCTTCAGCTAAACCGAACAAAAGTAATTGTTCAAGTGAGCTGAGCTGAACAATAAAAGTTAGAGAGAGAGAGACCTCTCAGAATTGAGGGCCAGACAGGAATATAGGACCCAGAAGAAATTCCCTTCTTCCCCAGTGAATCAAGGGGCTGGGCAGAATCCGTGAAAGGATGGGCTAAATGGCTGCAGAAGGACGGTGGCGGGTGGCTCAGAGAAATTGGGGACGTTGGATAAGGGATTAAGCAGAGTTTGCAAGGAAAGGATGACTCTACCTGACCTGGTTATTGGTGTCAATTTATAGCAGGATTAAGTCAAAGTATTTTGGCTAGCCATCCACCAACAGGATGACAGACTGATTCTCAAAACGAATGTAAGAGGAGTCCCAGAGGAGCATCCAGCATCTATAGGAATAAAATCCTCTCTGCTTCATTGTGATTGCGACTAGCAGCACTGTGTCATGTTGTTCTCAGATGTGGTCCAATCAGCTCTAAGCCACAGCAACCTTATATGTAACAAAACAAAATAGTTCCCAGTCCTGCTCCATCTTCCTAACTCACTGCCATTAAATTCATTCTGATGCACAGCGACCTTCTAAGACAGAGCAGAACTGGTCCTTTGGGTTGTGTAAATCTTTACAGGAGCAGAAAGCCTCATCGTTCTCCTATGGAGCGGCTGGTGGGTTCAAACCTCTGACCTTGTGGTTAGCAGCTCAATGCATAGCCCACCGTGCCACTGGGGCTCCTTTGTTCTGTCTTAGAGAGTTCTTAAAAATGCTTTCTAGCTACCTCATGTAGTCAATAAAATTAGGTCTTTAAAGACCTACACATATTCTTTTTTCTTGCCAATTCATCTGAGTATGTAGGTATCTAGAATAGCTATATGTGAGTAATTAAATAATAAAGTGAGATAAATTACAGCAACCTGCTTCCTTGACAACCAGCTACTCTTTTGGGTTCTCCATTCACTGTTCCTAGTTTATCTATCACAAAACTTTTGCCAAGTCAACATTTTACACATTGACAGTAATGACAGTAATCAGGTGTGCAATCTTCCCCTTAGTTGAGGTGATTTGTCTATCACCTTCTTACATTTTTGTTGTTATTAGGAGCCCTCGAATCAGTTCCAACCCGCAGCCACCCTCTACACAACAGAACAAACTCTGCACAGCCCTGTCCGTCCAAACAACTACTCCTGTGCCTGAGCCCCGTGTTGCAGCTGTGCTGTCAGTCCACCCCCTTAAGGGCCTTCCTTGTTTTCACTACTGCTCCTGGAAGGTACTGGTCTCTCCCGACAACATGTCCAAAGTACGTAAGACAAGTCTCATCATCCTTGCCTCTAAGGAGCACCCTGGCTTTACTTCTTCCAACGACAGCAGTTTATCCTTCTAGCAGTCCATGGAGTGTTTAATATCCATCACCAGCATAATTCAAATGTGTCCATTCTTCTTCGGTCTTCCCTTTTTTATGTCCAGTTTTTGCTTTTGAGGCAGTT